TGGTGTTTAACACCGAAAAATGCAAGGTTCTCCACCTTGGGAAGAAAAACCTGCAGCATCCTTACAGGCTCGGCAGTGTCCAGTTTTGGGCTCCACAATTCAAAAAGGATGTGGAGAAGCTTGAGAGAGTCCACAGAAGAGCCATGCGTATGATCAGAAGTCAGGAAAACAGACCTTACGATAACAGGGTGAGAGCCATGGGGCTCTTTAGCCTGGAAAAGCACAGGCTCAGGGGTGATCTGATGGCCACCTATAAGTTTATCAGGGGTGACCACCAGGATCTGGGGGAACGTTTGTTCACCAGAGCGCCCCAAGGGATGGCGAGGTTGAACGGTCATAAACTACTGCAAGACCGTTTCAGGCTAGACATAAGGAAGAATTTCTTTACTGTCCGAGCCCCCAAGGTACGGAACAGTCTGCCATTGGAGGTGGTTCAAGCACCTACTCTGAACACCTTCAAGAGCAAATTGGATGCGTATCTTGCTGGGATCCTATGACCCCAGCTGACTTCCTGCCCTTTGGGCGGGGGGCTGGACTCGATGATCTTCTGAGGTCCCTTCCAGCCCTAGTGTCTATGAAATCTATGAACGAAATATTAAAAGAAAAATAAAAAGTTGACTCCAGTTGATCCAGTAATGACATTTTATGGATACTTATATATGTCAGTCACTCAAAAATCCATTGTTTCTTAAATCTGTGGTCAGCAGTATTATGGTATTATTCTTGCTAAGACTTTAAGGCTTCTTAGATCATGTATACTAATTATTTATTAATTTATTAGTAAAATTCAATGAGGCCTCACCTAAAAGGGTTAAGGTTACATTCAGTAAAGGTTGGAACTCCTTTAAGATCCTTGAGCAGAATTTGTTCTATCAATACAACACATTCATATGCGAAATACAATACAAAAATATACTACTACATTTAAAATTAATAAAATTGAAAAAAAAAATAGTCTGTCACTCTCTTGGTCACTACTTGTATGAATATTTCCTAGTCCGAAATAGCCCGTCCACCGAAGGCCACTTTAGAATACTAACATAATTCAAGCACCAAAACATTCTGATCTCATCTTGGGTCTTTTGCTTTCTCTCAAATAAGGCAAAGGCTTACATTTTTAATTACTTCATGTACATGCTTCTAAACTTTCAGTACACCAACTACAGGATATTAAACATATGGCAGTCCATTATTATGTGATATTTTGATTTCCCACAAAGTAGTAGTGGTAGAGAGAGGACATCTGCCCTGAGGAGCTAAATTCAGGCATGGCACTAAAACTAACATTGAGAAAAGAGAAGAGGAAGAGAAACAGTGCTATAGTTATACTACTACTTTATAATAGCTTACATACTACTGTTTTGGTTCCTTTAGCCTTTGTTATAAAAATGCTTTTGGAGAGGGCCCTTATACTGTTTAAGTGGATACCGATAAACGTGCCTATTTGTATAATGGTAGCATGGTATAAAGACAGCAGTCTTTCAGAGTTTTATGAAAGAAATATTTATGAATGTTACGGCATTTAATACAGCTAAAGGTACATTTTAGAGATTATCTGAGTTGTGGGCTGGAACATTCTGGACCTGATCCAGCAATGTATGTATATCTGCTTAAGTGCTTTGCCAGATTAATATCTTGCAGAATTGAGTCCTAAATCAGTTACAGTATTTATATTTTTTGCCAATACATTTTATTTTTTGCAATTTATATTGCAGTTTATATTTTGCAAATACATTGCCTATGAAACTAATCTCATGAAGCTGGAATATTTAAATGCTATAATTTAGATATGTCTATTCTTCCTTCCCCAAGCACTATTACGTTTCTTTTAAAAAAAAAAAAAAAAAAAAAA